GTTTTCTCCACCTTTCTCCCAAAGGAAGTATCTAATTCTCATCTCATGCCCCAGGAGACATGCACATTAGAGCATACAGTTGACAACCCCAGGGGTGTGTCACTGTAGAAAGAGATGAGAACAGTTTTTATCATTGCTCTTGAGGAGGCCAGCTCCTAACTAGATAAAGTAACTTGCTTAAGGACATGTAAACTTGAATTTATATAACAACACCTCTTACGACTTTCCTACATAGTATCTTATTGGGTCCCTATAAAAAAAAATGGTAGATGACATGGAAGGAAAACAAGATTTTGTTTTCTTCTATCATTTATACACCACAACTTCATTTTTCCTTTCTTCAATGAATCACCCCTGATGACAACTCCATAAAGGCCCACTTTGTAGGTAAGAGAAAGTAAAAGGCATATTTACCCAAGTTCATATTCAGTACAAAGAGTGAGAAAAGGACTTGAACCCAACTCTTTAGCTGCTACTCCTTTCCCCCACCTTCGTGGACTTTTCTAGATGTGGTTCTGAACTGAAGCTAGGTCTTTCACCTGTCTGCTCAGGAGCATGTCCACTGCCCTGCACTCACCCGGGACAGCACACCTGGCTTCAGCAGAATTTTGTTGCTGATGTGTGGGAGGTTGATCACATTCTTCTTCTCCTTGGTATCCATAAAAGGGAGTGAAGTAATGTTGGTGTTTGTACCCTATAGAAGGAGAAATTGGATAAGGTATAGAAACCTCAGATAAGAACATTCTCCAGAGGTCATTTCTTCTAGACTCCTCCCCACAACAAGGATGAGCCTAAACCCAGATTCTTGGAGGGAAAAAAAGAAGATTCCAGGGAGCAAAGTAATCTAGCAGACAGGATCTGGGGTTGACTCTCCCATTCCACCACTCACTAGCTGTAGACACTGCATGGGTCACATTGATTCAGCCTTAATTACTTCATCACTCTCAAAAATGGGACCTACCTCATAGCTTTTGTGAAACTATGTAGAGTATTCCATAAGTGATAGCCATTATTATTCTCATTCCAATATTTTACCTTCCAAACATGGGGAAGGCCTTTCTGCTATACAATGCAAATCTTTCTTGATGCAACAAAAACTCCCATTTCCTCTACGGCTACTTTATAGACTTAACCTTCTCACTTGGGTCACTGCCCTCCTACATTGATTGATTAACTGATTTGGAAAGAGATAATCTAACAACAAATAGCCATGTTTAAAACTGTGTGGAGAGAAGCATGGTGATATGGATAGAGGGCTCTCATTGTTATGCTGAGTTGGCCAAAAGTGCCTGTAAAAAGCTATTTCTTCCATCCACTGCCCTTGTCCTTTCCTAAAGTCACTAACCAACACTTCCTACCTTATGCAAAAGTCGGGTCATTTTGAGGTTCTTGATCTTGGAGGGTGGCTTCTGGACTTGAGCCAAAGGCTTATTTTCAACCTAAGTCAAGTAGAAGAAAAGTGTAATAAGGCTTGACAGGGCTTCATCCCAAGCCACCTGGACCTTTATTTCATTTCCTTACAATAAGCAAGATATCCTTGAAGCCAGCTTTCCTGATCCCAAGCTAGGAAGAGTTCAAAGAAGCTCAAAGAAGTACTCAATGCATGAAATGAATTACTACCCACAAATAATCTTTCCAGAAGTGCTAATGATAGATCCACTTGTCTTATGATTTTCACACCTTAAAAAATCAATATATGCTTTCTTCCAACACAGTCTTAACCAGCATCCTTGTAGATGATAAGGAATAGAAGTGGAGCTAATGTTATCTTGCTCTTTAGGAAAGAAAATGCTCTTAGTCTTGCCCAGAACTCAAAGTGCCCAAAGATGCCTTAGTGGAACCTGCCAGGATACAGGTGCCCAGCCTGAACACCAGTGCTCTCATCAGAAAGGCTTCACATCTAGAAAGGGGTGGAGAGGAAAGGACCACAATCTTAGAACAATTTTTTCCAAGGTAGTAAGCACACCACAGGGGTAGGTGACATAATTCCGTGCAGGATGCAGATAGACAATCACCTAATGGCTATGCATTTATTTTGCTATCCATTTGAAAAACTATTAGAAGCACTTTAAGCATGTGATTTTGTAGTTGTTATTACTTAGGATGAAATAAAAATTTAAGTAAAAAAATTAAAGGGAGCACGAGATATGGCAAAAATTATAAAGGCAGCACTGAAATAACTAAAGTTTAGCAAACAGCCTTCAGTTTGAACACAAGTTCTGTTCTTTGAAACAAAACTTAGCATTCTCTTTCTTCCAGACCTTCCCTAGAGACCTGCAGGAAGCACATCTAAAGCTGAGATACAGGGGGCCAGACCCTTTTAAATTTGGCAACTGAGGTACAACATTTATTGTCCTTTAGCACAGCTGAGTCCTCCACAGAGCGGTACTGATGGGGGCACTTAGAATATTCGGTCTTGACCTCCTGGAATATGAAGGTAATCTGAGGGAGAGAAGATTTCACAGAGCACGGGCCATGGTCTCGGACCACGTTGGTTAATTGGCTAATGTGCACTACATGCAGATGTGGTTATCTATGAATAGACTGTGATGATATCTGAGGAAACATTGCAATTGTGAATCCAACTTCTCATTAAGTAGGTTTACGAATATTAAAACTCAGAGGTATCAGCAGTAACATCAAGCTGGCACTGAGGATGCCATGGAAAGACCAACAGATGAATGGAAAGTACATCAACAAAATACAGCCCAGACTAAATATCAGAAAAAGGACATCGGTGAGTGTCAAGTGTCGATAAAAAAAAAAAAAAGGAAGATAGCACCATAAATGCAATGAGCCCAGGAGGAGGGGAAAGGGACGTCTGGAATGCATGGGGCTTGGTCTGGACTGAGAGGAGGGGAAGACCACATGCTCATTAGGAGAAGCAACAGTATCCAGGCATGCTCCAGGGGTCTCCACTGCTCAGAAAGGATAAGCTGGAGCACAGGGCTGGCTGTGGGTTGCAGAAGCATTGAAAGCTAGGCTAAGAAACTCGGTCTTCTCCTATGGGCAAATGTGAACCACTGAAGGTTTGCACGGTATGTGCAAAGCAAAGCCGTCCTTCAGAAAGATTCCTTCAGCAGCTGTGTGGCATGACAATACTCAAGGACATGAACCTGGAAGTCACACTCTTTCATTTTGAATCCAGTTCCACTGCTCATTAATTATTTGAATTTGGGAGCGTCATTAACTTCTCCTCCTATTACTCGAGGATATTATCGTTAACAAGCTCATAAGGTTGTTGTGAGGAAGAATGACTTAATGTGTGCACAACACTTCAACTAGTGCCTCGAATGTGTTAAGAGTGATAGAGTTCAATTTTCCTCATTCGCAAAATGCCGAAAGTGATCTGTGCTCATTTCCCATGAAATTGATGGAGGATGAACAAGATGGCTAAAGGAGCTGTGATGCTTAACTTGACAAAAGAATAAAACAAAAGAGAAATTCTCATAGATTAACATTATGGTAACTGTCATATACATATATTGGAAATGAACAATTAAGAAGTAGACAGCAGCTGGGCGGGGTGGCAAATGCCTATAATCCCAGGCTGAGGCAGGAGAATCTCAAGTTTAAAGCCAGCCTCAGCAATATCAAGGCACCAAGCAACTCAGTGAGACCCTGTCTCTAAATAAAATATAAAACAGAGCTGGGGATGTGGCTCAGTGGCTGAGTGCCCCCGAGTTCAATCCCTGGTGTGCATCCCCGCAAAAAGTCAAAGGCAGATGGTAGAAACCAGGTTTCTCTTTGTTGGAATGGAAATTTATGGATCAGAAAAGTCTAATCAATATTACCATCATGTTATAATGGACCATAGTTGGAGATGTAGCTCATGTTTAAGTTAATATAGATACATATGGCTACATGTAGAAATATTTATGTATATGTGTGCATGTGTGTGCACATGTCCAGGTGGCTTGGGATAAAGCTCTGTCAAGAAAAGTTTAAGAAACTGTCAGAGCCAAGAGGAGACTAAAGAGACATGTCAACTAAATGTAATACGGGATCCTGGAACAGACAAAGGACATTAGGTAAAAATTAAGGAAACCTGCATGAAGTATGGAGTTTGGTTAATGATAACATATCAATATTGGTTCATTATTTATAACAAATGCACTATGAGATATAAATAATAAAGGAAACTGGGTACATGGTGGGGAGTAGTGTGTAGAAACTTTTATATCTCTCTTTTTTTTGGTAAATCTAAGACTATTCTAAAAATTAGTCTTTTATTAAAACAAAACTCCTATAGGAAGGGCAATGTCAAAAGGGCTGCCACTTATGATAGAGTACAAATTTCTTCTACGTGGTTCAAAGGACAGAATCAGGTCAAAGTGTGGGAATCATAGGGAAGTAAATGGAAATTTATGGATCAGAAAAGTCAAATCAATACTACCATCATGTTATAATGAACTATAATTGGAGAAATGTCTGGTTCAATAAAATGAAGAATTTTATAAAATTTAGAGTTGCACATAAAAGGTAGGAGTCTCTCTGAAGCATTGACTTTCCCATTAGGTGGAATCCACCTGATGATCATCTGTGCAAAATGTGCATGGAACGGGAGTCTGGGCAAGATGTAATCTACAAAGTCCTATCAGTTTGTAAGAGTTATTCAAGTGACTTCCGGATGTATGTCTTAAGAGCTTTCTTTGGTTTGGATTTTCAGTGTCCTCCAAAGGCCCTTGTGTTGAAGGTTTAGTCTCTAGCCTAAGGCACTCCTGGGAGTTGGAACCTTTCATAACCTGGCTTCCTTCTGTTTCTCTCTTTAATGTTCCAGCTGCCATGAGACGAGAAGCTTTGTTCTAACACATGCTCCCCGCTATGATGTTCTGCCTTGCCACAGTCCCAAAGCAAAAGGGACAAGCTACCGTGGACTGAAATCCTCTGAAATTCTGAGGCCAAAATCAATCTTTTCCTCCTTATATGATTATTTCAGGTGTTTTGTCATAATAACAGAAAGCTTGCTAACACAAACTTTATCTTTCCTCTCGTACAACCAAAGCTTCAATCTATTGAACAGAGCCATGCTTCCCAACCTTTGTCACATCATGACACATACAGGAAAAATTTAATACTTGTACAGCAATGAGCTTCAAGATAAGAGGCAACTCACAGCCAGGGGTTCCAGCTGCTCCAGGTCTAACCAAGCCACCCCCAGGATGGGTGGCTTCTACATCTCTGCACCCCATCTCCCATACTCAGATAACAATATGTTGTTGTGCAAGATTATGATTCTGTTTCCTGCAGTTTCTCCAAGAGGCACACAATGTCCCATCACAACACTACATTCTACCATGGCAAGAAGAGGGTGTGATCTCCCATATTCATAGAAAAATGCCACCTTTCTTTCAGACAGTGAATATTGGTGTCATTGTCCTTTGGCCCTGCACTGATTTCTAAGTCAATGCAACAGGAGTCTCTTTAATAGTCTCTGTATCTACATTTGAACTCTCCTGTGTAAAAAAGACTTTATTCACAGGGGCACATGGCAAAGCTGGGGCTTCCAGTGCAGCCCATGAACTGTGGCTGGATTCAGGGAAATAAGAAAGGGCACTAGGGAGCTGATAGAGCCTTTTCCACTTCTCTGTGTGCATCGCTGTTCTTAGAAGCTTCCAAAACAGCCAGAAGTCAACTGTAAAGTTCCTTGATTTCCCAAACCTTTTATATAAATATGCACTGCTTTTATAATTTTAAAATCCTATTATTTAAAAACAAAAGGGACAGATATGGTGGCTCTGGAGGACTCTGGAGGCTGAGGCAGGAGGATCCCAAGTTCAAGGCCAACCCCAGCAATACAGCAAGACCCTGTTTCAAAATAAAAGATTAAAAAAAAATGACTGGGTCATGTGGCTCAGTGATAAAACTCCTCTGAGTTCAATACCCAGTACCGAAAAATAAAAATAAAAACAAAAGGTATTACAACAGGTAATTATCAAAGGTTCAAATCAATGATAGGGCAGGAGGTACTCTGTGCAACTGAGAGCCTAGATAGAGTGGATTAGATTATAGAAGAGGACAGAGAGGACCTGGGCTGGGAGAACCTGGGAGGATAGAACAGGAGATGCTGGCTGGGGTTGTTAAGATTCTCCCCGCTAGAGGCCCTCATTTAAATTTGAGGGCTCCCCTGTTTTCTCTATCTGTGCTTCCCATAGCCAGGTCATGGACCCACAGGGACTGACACCACACGAAAATGCAAGTAAGGGGCTGATCCAAGCCTAGAGTTTCTTGTCCTGACCCAGGGCCCCTCCTCGCCTCTCTCCTCTCTGTTTTCTGAGCTAGCTGGCTAGTTCTCACTAGGCCAGGCACTTAGGTTCTCACACTTATTTTGTTTTCTCAGCCAAAACCTTAAACCATAGCAGGTGGCAAATTCTATCTGCTGCTTTACAAAAGCCAGCTCACCTTTCTCAAATAGAAGCTGCGTTCAATTTAAAAGCTA